TTAGCCTATGCAATCCATATTAAATATCTAAACAAACTAAGGCCAACTTGTGGTTTACATTATGCAATAAGGATTTTGTATGACAAATAAAATTGAAATCCCAAATAACTTGTGACTGAGTGGAGCAAGCCTAGTGGTTCGGGTGAGTAACTATGGGTTAAATGACCCGTAGAATCTGATTATGCCATCATACACCTAAGAATATATGCCCTTCTACATATTGGACTGTGACTTTATGCAATTTGATACTTGAAACACAATTGGCATACTACAACGTTGGTGTCGACAAATGTGAATTGGAGGTTGACACTGGCATTAGATTGCATGACAGATTGTTTGGACCTCTGAGGCTGTTTTTTTAGTTATATGTAGACGTAATCCAAAAAAAAAAAAAAAAAACTTGATCAAAATCTTAAAAACTTTCAAAAAAAAAAGGGGGCTTGGTTAAACGACTCCCAAGAAGTGGAGAGCCGACTCCCAAGCCCCGAAATCCCCGACTTTTGGGAGTCGGACCCCCAAAACCTTCGACTGGTTTGGGAGTCAACTCTCCCAAAAAAAAATATTAAAAAAAATAACAATCCCCGGTTGGTTTAGGAGTCGATCCTCCAAAACCAACCAGGGTTTGGGGGTCAATGAAACAAAAGACCCCCACAGAAGCGGACCGGGAGGATTCTTCCCAGCCGCTCAGATTACACACCGCAATGGCCGAGAGGAATCTTCTGACCCGTAAAGATTCTGCATCTCAATCGATGAGAGAGATTCGCTCGGCCGTGGAGCATCTGTACACTCACCGCCAAAGCCTGATCCTCTCGATCCCCTAGCTGGGGCAGTCACAGCTGTTGAAACCCCATGTTTCAAAATCCCATTTAATTTACTATCTATGAGCTTGTGAACAGAAGGTTTTTTCTCGCTCTACACAAAACGAACACACCGATTAGAACTTATAAATCCGGGCGAAGGAAGGTCAATTACTAGAACTCCATGAGTAAGAAAGTGTTATATGGTTCAAATCCTCTACTGGCAAAAATAAGACTTAGTAAATCATGC